TATTGGACACGATGACCGGTAACAACTCCAAAGGATGGTCGCAAGGTGTTGTAAATATTTTTCTGGAGTAGAATCGAAAGATTTGACACCGGGTGGTGTATCACGAGGAAGGCTAGCCGGAATACTTTGTACGTTTACTAAACCACACAAACAAAAATAAAAGAAATAAAATTCCTAAACATGCTAATTCAGATGATTGGATGGTTCTTAAATATCAACTACTGCGAAAATTTGAATAAAGCAATAGAAATAACAATGCAACCACAAAGAACAAATAGGATTTGAGGACCTAGGGAGTCGGGGATATCCGTTTTGATTTGAATTGTAATTAATGGGCAAGTGATTGTTCAACTAAGTGATTTGAATAACCGACACGTTCAAGTACTCATTCTCAATAACTTTTCGTAACAAGGGAACAAAAAAGAACGACAAATTAACAATCCATTTAACTCCTGGGCAATACAGTTACGAACAAGCCTAGCTTATGCGAGTCTATTTCTATCGACTGCTCCCCTTTCGGTTCAAAGGGCCGATTAAGATAACCTAGAGGGTGATTAACCGACTAATCAATTAGGGCAACCAACATCAAACAAGAATAAATCGAACTCAATTGAAATTAATTGGAAATTGAAGTGTCACCCTTCAATAATCCTCAATATTGAAATACGATAATTGAAAATCCCTATCAAAAGCTCGACTCGCATAAGATGATCAATCATTAACACCCACAATCACAATCGAGATCAAAACGTCAATCCCCTATTCCCTATCGTATGAATTTAGCTACTCATAATCGAATCAATAATCATAATCATCAAAGAATATATATTCATCAATTAAATGAAAAGAAGAATCTTACGATTAATAAATTCTGAAGTTGAACGATAATCCGATAAACATGATTAGTTCGAAAGGATCAGCAAAATTCGAAATTGAATCAGTGTTTTCCATCCGAAATTATGAAAGAAAGACAAAAACAGTTTTAAGGGAAAGGCCCCAGAGAAAAAAAACCCTCGCTCCAAACATGAATATAATTGTTTCTCAATTTCTGAACTTTAAAATCTGTGAAACGCCTCCGCAGCCGCGGTGAGTATCGGCTCCGCCACCGTGACTAATCCCGAGGCAGCGAGAATTAGGAAGTTGAAGTCTGGACCGATGGGAAGCTTTGTTCGCCGCGGCCGTGGTGAAGGAAGCTCGCGGCCGCGAAAGAGAGAAACATGGCGCTGGGAAAAAATGCAGCAGGCGCCCCGGCGTGCTGCCTTGTCGCAACGCGGGTAAGGGAGGTTTAACGGCGTGGCATGATCCTCATGGCGCGGAGGAGAATGGTGTCGCGGCGTGGTCTGGTCCTAACGACGCTAAGAGAACTCCTGGCACGGCGCGACGGAGTTGTTCACGGCATGGAGGGAAGGAACTGGAGTGGGTTCCCAGCGTGAAGCTGCTGGACTGTTGGAGCTGTCTCACGACCTGGAGGAGCTGCGTGATGGGGCAAGGTGCTGGTCACACAGCGTGGTGCAGATGATGAGCGTGTGGAAAAGACGACTGGTTCTTCAAGTGTCCATTGCCCCCTCGTTGAATGCCGTGCGGAAAAGCTCTGTATTATCGTAGTGCTTATAGTTGTATGATCGAGTACCTGCACACCAGAATATACGCGTTAAGGGTCCCGCGTGTGGGGCCGCGGCGCGGCTTGGACCAAGAGCTGTTAGCTTCTTTGTACTGCTCGGTGTCTCGGCCTCGTTTACGCTCGTTGGGTATCAGAACTCTATTCTCGGGCTCGACTAATGTTTTCCTTATAACCTATCCTCCCGAGACTTTCAACCTCACACCAACGACGACGAAACAAATGCAGAAAACAGAAACAAAATAACCGAAAAACACATAAAGACTCTAAATAGATGAAAACACACGACAAGAAACAAAACAGACCAAAACTAAGAGAAAAAAACATAAAATGGGGAAAAAGAAAGAAAAAAATAATCACGAAAAACATAACAAAAATGGGACAAACAACTCCCCCACACTAAGACCAAAATGAAAAGAAAAGAAAAGAAAACAAGCAAACGAGCGTGGATAATAGTTTCAGATAAGAAAAGTCTCAAATTAATCAACTTAGCCGAGGATACTCCCAATGACCAATATAGCACATCTCGATTATGACTCGAATGCTATGCTTTGAAAAGACAAACTCTCAAGCACAGAAATATCATATATATATATGTGCCTCACTCAGTTTCTTTCATGAAAATAAAATGGGGCGCTCAAATTGGTTGATCACCATGCATCAACATAAGCTTGATCGTCGTTTATTCATACTCTAAAACAATTGAAGATCATGACTTGTAAATCAAGAGGACTTCTGGGTTTGCAGTGTAGGTATCAAGGAAGGACAAATATAAAGTGATATAGCCACACTGGCTCATAACGGTCCGTATCATCTTGGTTCAGAAATTATCAAGTCGACTTTAGCAAAGTCGACTCCGCCAATAAGGCTCTTCATGATACTCACGGTCAAGGATCCCGGCTCTCGTCTAAGTCGACATACACATGTCGACTAAAAGAAGTCGATTTCTGCCAAGACGATGGTCAGACGTATCAGGATCCACTAGCGATTGAATACGATCCAGTCGACTCGAGTCGATATCTCAGGTCGACTGAAAGGATCTTGCAGTTCATAGATCTCGACAGCTTTGATACACCTCAGCGTATTGAGGGAAAGTTAAGGATAAGAAGAAAGCTAAGGAAGGATCTAGATGCTGACTAGGAAGTGGGCAAAATACGAACCGACCAGGGTATTTTGGACATTTCCAGTAAGTCGGCCGGGGCACTTTGGGGACTTCAGGTAAATGTTGTACTTCTATATAAAGGACTTAGGTAATCCCAAAACCCTAACTCCCATTCATTCCAAATTCTTTTCATTATTGCTGCTGCTCTCTCAGAGCAGCTCTCTTCGTCTCTTTCACATACTGACTTGAGCGTCGGAGGCTCTACGCCGAGAATCCCTCCAGCGTTGAGTTCTTGCAGGTGTTCTTGTGGTTCGATAGCAATTTGGAGACCATGAGGACAGATCTGAGCTCGTTCACATCGGTTCATTCCAAATTCGGGCGATTTTCCACCGGTTCACCCCAGATCCAGAAATAGACCCATCATTTAGCGCCGTCTGTGGGGAGTTCTTGAAGGAATTAAGAGCTTTGCACCTAGCTTTGATCTGTTTCCGATGGCTGAGAAGGAAGGAGTGCAGAAAAACTTGAATGAAGATTTCAGGGCAACATGGACTGACAAGCGACCTCCTCCGATTCCCAGCCTTAGACCACCACTCCAGGTGCTGGGATTCCAACCTTTTAGGGCGCAAGCGCCGTCAGGAGGGCGTATGGGAGAGGAGACGCATATTACCCCACCCGGAGTCAAGATCCCGGTTCTCACCCAAGGGGAGGCCAGTCACGTGAAGCACACGAGCAGAGGAGTGGATGGTCACGCGTCAACCGAAAT